CGGGCACACATCGATTGCGCAACCGACCGAATCTTGTTCCTGTGCCTTGCCGATCGACCGTGGCTTGTCTTTGGCTTTACACGAAGTGCTAATCGTCAGAGGCATAAGGCACGATAATTCGGTACCGGCTTAAAAATAGAAAAGGAGCGCTATAAAAGGAGCGTGGAAAAACGACGGAAAAGCGAAGTTATACGGAAAAACCTGCAAAAAAGCCTTTGTTCTGCACGGCATTGGACGAGCATTTTTGGACGAGTTTCCCTTTGATCGTGCCAACAACCGCTTTGATAGATACGGCTGCACGTATTCATATATCCATGTAAGGACGCTGAATATCAACTGTACTTCATAACTGAAGCGATAAGAGTACCAGCGTCGATGTGACTGTACGGCCATTTGTGGGCGGGCGGTTGCGGTGGGCGTTTGGGTCGGCATGTTGCACCTTGGTTAGGCGCTATAACGGTGCCCTTGGTTGGAAAAGGCGCCACGCAGCGCCTGCTGAGGGACACAGTATTTTTCGTGCTAGGTGTATCGACCCTGTACGCCTTGCCGTTTTATCGTGCCGCCTTAAAATGATGAACTCTGGCCTTTTTAGGACACTTTCCCATGGAATCGATTGCCAAGGGAGCTGCAAGTGAAGATTCTGGGAAACCTAAATCGTCGCGATCTGGGCCGATGTCGATCGCTATGCAGAGAGATGTTCGACATCATCAGGAACAGTGAGAGCTCGATGAAAAGAAGACACATCGACGTCGTACGGATCGAGAGGGTTCGTTTCTTCAGAAAATTGCTTTTCACACCCTTTGCGAGGCCGGATATGTGACAAGACAATCGTAATCCGCTGCGCAGGTGGTCGTGGCGAGCGACTCCGCGCTCTATAGACGAGTTGGCCGTTTGAAATTGAGTATTTGTGGAACGGAAAAGTTGATATCGCATATCAAGGAATCTTGTCTCCGCTTGAATTTATATGGGTCTCACTGCTACAGTTGATGAACTGATGCGCATTAAACGTCCACCGCGCATCGCTCACGACGCGTCGCGCGCGACGTCGCGAAAGATCACGACAAAGCCCTTTTAGACGTTCGATCTTCACCTAAACGAAAACTGAAACCTCTCCTCGAAACGCGAAGGTTTGATAGATTGATTGTCATCAATGGTCGCTCTGATAAATCAGATTTTGTGGACAAATCCGGCATGACCACTTGCACTTTTTCAGTGATTCGAACCTGCCCTTGCATCCTTTCCGACAATCCGACAAAGGCAGGATGAGATTTTCTTTTGCCGCTTCCAACTTCATAGAGACTTTGGCGAAGTGTTCCGCTGGGCTGGTTTCGGAATTTGTGTGACCGGGTAATGGCAAAGTCTTTGTTTCATTGGAAAATGAAGAG